AGCGCTGATCCGTGCTAATATATGTGCTTAGATGCAGGTGTCGGAATCTTGGTACGTGACAGGCCTGCCCTGGCTGCAACCTTTTGGGCTTCCACGAACCATGAAAGCATCCCTGGGATGACTCCAAAATGTTATCGGTAACCTTGATGCCAATGCCATGCATGCGATGTGAAACGGTCAGTGCATTTCAGATTCCTACTGAGCGGACAGTTTGGAACTTGTACGCGGTGATCGTCGGCAAGGATTGTGACCGCTGTTGTGTTCAGTAGAATTTAGTAGCTCCGAACATGAAAGATTGGGATCGACATGTACATAGCCGCTGTTGGTACTTAAAGGGTCCAGAGACCACCAGGGTGTTTCGTGGAAGATAAAGTCGGACTAGGATGTCCCATGGTTGTGAGGCTGTCTAAGGAAACTTTGGCGATACTTTCACCACCCCTGGGAACACGATTGGGTAGTGGCAGGCACCTGCACGCCAAAAAGCTTGAATATCATCGCCCCACCAAAATTCCCCCTGAATCCTATTTCCAATCAGAGTTCCTATAGAGTGATCTTTCTGGGGATTTACATATGTTGCTCGCCACAATCAACCCACATTTACTGATCTACTTGTCGCTGGGCACCTACTTATTCTAATGCACCTCCTCCGGGCCGACATGGTAAGTACTTCAAGACTTCAAGTTGATCCCCTATATTCTCCTACAACACCATGAAGTGAGGCTATTGATAGCTTGCAAGCACCCGACATGCATGTCATCTTTTCTCCACTCACACTTTTCGACACGGCATGCTGACGATGCTTTTACAGCCGATTCGCTGCTTTCACAACTACCCTGGGCGATGTGATGCTTACTTCGACGACCAGAGGAGGTTTATGATTGTCATTCCTCCTACCTAAATCGCCGATTTCTTCTCTCTGAAGCATCCTTTCTGCCCCTCATCTTCCACAATCTGAATAGCATTCGGGGAGAAAAGGGCCTGAAGAGGACACAACTACTTCTGCCCTTACTCCAACACTCCACATATAAGAAAGTAATGATATCGGTGCGAAATGGCCAACTGTATTACAGGACTTGCATACGCGAGGCAGAACGGACCAAGCACCTGCATCGAGTTCTAAACCACATTCGAGTGTATCTCAACACACAGACGTAGAATATCGATGTTGAAAAACAATTACTCTTGGCATTTTCCGTACATAGCCCAAGAAACCAGACCCTCTCGCATATTCTTGCCATCAGTAACTCTCCCTCCCACGTCCTCTCGGCTGGAAAAACCAGATAAACCCTCAACCCTACCGCCATGAGATCTTCCGTCCGCTCCGCCCGCGAAGAAGGAATGGTAGCGGCTTCATTAGACCAGCATATCTCAATCTATCCGAGCAATCCCACCCCTTGCCCTTCGCAAACTTTATCTCTTTCTCTCTCTCTCTCTCTCTCCCCGGCGACCAGAATGGTTCGCATACATGTTTCCTTGCTTCCTGGATTTGGTGCGGTACCGCATGCAGCTTATCCAAGGTCTGCCCTCGTGGACCAGAAATTTCGTCCCATTTGTTCCTGCCAAGGGATATCCCCTCTCCTCCCATGTCCCCAGATATCTCTTTATTAGTCGGCTTTCCAAAGTTCAGAATACCAGATTTCTGGCCTACTTGCATGGTGCTTACTGGTATTACGCACCGGTCCGGTCAGCAAGGATGAGGGGGTTGGGTGGGGGTCCGTTGGGGAAGCGGGGCTATGCTACAGAAATCGAATTTTGTATGTGTTTAATTTATGACGACGCGTAGTTTGTGGATGCTGAGATATAGGGACTGGAAATTCCGAGTTTGGGTAGCTACACAGTATGGTGTTCCCTGTGCATGCAGGCTGTGCCACGCTGTCGTCGAGTGAAATGCATGGGGTTCATGTTTCTTTTCCTCCGCTAGAATGTGTCGAAGTGCCTATCTTGAGGTGGAAAAAGAGAGTAGCTATGTTCTTGTTCTAGTGAGTTAACTAGCAACTTCATTGCGAATACCTGATATTCAGATCTTGGCAGTTGACAGTGTAGTTGGACGCGTCTACACTACTTGGCTCATTCTCTTAACACCCAAGCTGAGACGGGCCGATATACACCTCCTCTCTCTACCTCACCTTGTAAGCGGAACCGCGGGAGCTGACCCATGCAGATGATGTTTTCTCATTCAACTCACAGCGTGGTCACCTGAGCTGCGGGATTTCCGGCAGTTGTTTTTATCGTTCGATTTTCGGATGCGTCTTCCACCAATGCAGTGACGGGATCCGATAGTTTGCACGGCATTGTCAACAAAGCAATGCCGTGTATGTATCGAGATATAGCGCAAACGGGTCTGATGTATTGCTACCGTACAGACACGTAATCAACCAGATAATGTGCAAATTCGACGTGCGGGAGGTGGATGTGTTCGTCAGATTACTGTGTATGTAAGCACGGATATGGAGGAAGGGTAGAGTCTGGTCGCTTCTTCCATGGCCAGGCACGAAATCTGTCTCAACATCTAAATTTTGTGGAGTAAGAAAAATCAAAGTGGATATTATGCTATGCATGAGCACTGATGGACCTGCTCTTCGGGTTCCCCGATCTGTGGTTCGGGTGGGAAAATGGAGGCTATATTACTAGTTGCACAGAGTTTGGGAACAGTGACGTTGAACTAACCTGTCTTTCGCTCGTATAGGAATGTATTTTCCATGTAGGTGTTGTTAGGCTAGACATCCATGATACCCGTTGTACTAAGTTTACACCCTTTTGGATGCAGACAGGTGAATGTATGTCATTCCATATGCCTCCCATGACTATTTGCCCTTCCGTTCAAGCTTGGGTGAACGATTCTTGATTTATCGTTCATCCACCCGCTATTTTCTCCACTTTATTACCGCAGTGATGATCTTATGCTCACCCGTCCAAACTTTTTGTATTGCGACCCACATTCCGCAACTATGGGAGCTCGTATCGAGAGTACCTGGTCGTGTGGACAGGTTGCGAGTCATGCTTCCCGTCACTCTGACTCACTCGAAGTGATTTATAGGCTGCTAAATGATATAAAAGAGGCAGGGTAAGTCCTCATACTGCATATGTGAACATAGCTATAGCATCGCGCAACCAAGGTATCTCATTTGAGATCCGACAAAGAAGAAACGTATGATAGTAAGGAATAGATATCTGAAGGATCTATGGCTTTCAACGGAGAAAGCAACACGAGTAGTGCCAATATATGTATTCGCATATCCTCCGTCTCTCCATTACACCCTCTACACCAGATTACCCACAGCCCAAGCATCCCGTCCGAGAGACTACAATTCAGGCTTAAGGTCCAAATGCGATTGCTCAATCATTACCCTGTCTTACACACCATTCGCCCCAGGCTTCCTCGTTTCCAGCATCAGTGCAGAAGGAAACTCGAGACGACCCCCTTTTTTTTAAACAAAATCAGCGTCACTCTACCCAGAGTCGCCACAATATGCAAGAAGATGCTGTCGAGTCATGTTAAGGTTGGTACCGCAGCGGGCGCTTGCGCAGCATGACATCGATGCAAGGGCTGCTTACCTTTATTGGAAGCCTTCGATCGCCGCCGTTTGGATGATCAGGCGTTCCGTTCGGGCGGGTATGAGATGCGAGAAATAAATGTCTCCAACGCTTGGCGCGTAAAGAAACATGAGGCGTTGAGTTTATGACGTAAGGAAATGCATGGAGGTGATGGATGCTGAGACTTTCAATGGTGGAGCGATAGGATCTGAGTGTGTGGACAGCACATGCAAGCGATAGTGGGATCTTTGTGACGTGTACCAGGTACGTTTATACTGGACGATAGTAGTGCGATTCATTTTGCATACTATGACATGTAGTTGCTAGTAGTGAATAATTCTTCCAGCTCTGCCCTACCTTTTCAAAAAAAAAGAAAAGATGTATGTCCTTGTTCAGCAGAACAAAGATATCCGCAACTCTGTATCGGACAAAAAGACCAGTGTTGGGAATTAAATCCTACTCAATGGTGTTTTCAACAAGAATACGTGGCCTGTTCAAACATCTTTCGTCGTAATCGTAGCATTAGCTGTATATTATATTCGATCCGATTGATGTATCGTAGAAGAAGAAAGCGGATGCAATTATTTCTGGAAAAACTCCACTCTCACCAGCCACAACTAAACCGAGATGTTAGGAATTTCTATTCTCGAATCTCGCCTAGTTGTGTATCGAACATCAGTATCTCAACCAGCTAGATGGTATGACAGCTAGAGTAACTAGCGCGATGGGCAAACAGCAGTCCTGGTATCAGGCAACTAAAGCAGCTAGAGACATTACATCGCAGCAGCGGATAGGGACGTTAATGTCTAGCTAAAGCATCATCCCACTTAGATACCACTTACGGGCCATAATGCTGATATTTGGGTATTGTCAACTAGGACCAAGGCAAACCAAAAAAATGAATAGCAAGATGAAATTTGACGTATGAGGTCATCGATCGCAAAGATAGATGAGAAGTGAACAAACTAAACATTCAGAACTTGCAAACCACGAATAAACAAGAATGATGACGAAAGTATCATTTCCCACCAATATTTCGTGATGTAGTATCACGTGACCAGAGCGTAAATACATATCGGGATTTCTTTCCAGAACAGATAAACTACCTTCCTCACTCGACACAAATGAGCGATTAGATATCATCTCTATTCCACCATGTCTATCTCGTTTTATAATATGATAATAATGTCACCCACGTGACATTCAACAGTACTAGCAATGTACACTGCAAAATCGAATTATACACAAACATCAATGCAAATATCTTGATTTATTTTCCCTTCCGTCATACCTAGCAAACCAAGAACAACAAAAGAAAAGAAAAGCCGCAGGAAAGTTCCATTGCGGGAAAACTGCATGACTACAAAGAGGGAATTTAACCCTCCCCCTCTACTCTACATGCCATGAGAAGGAAAAAAATAAGCTAATACGTCAAATCATCAACATCCAATTCCCCCGATTCATACTTAATCCAAGCTCTGAATCTGCACCTTGATACACCCCGTCTTTGGATCCGCAGCCGTCTTAAACGCCTCGACGGCATCCTCGAGCTTAAAGCGATGGGTAACCAACTTCTTGAGATCAATGACGCCACTCTTGTACAACCGGATAGCCTTGGGCCAGGTATTGCAGTAGCGGTACTGGAACTGGAGGTCGACCTCGCGGGTACTGAGGCGCATGAAGGGGATTTTGATTTCGTTTTTGCCGACGCCAATGACGAAGACTTTGCCGCCGAACTTGACGGTTTGGATGGCGCTGTTGATGGAGCTTTCGACACCCGTGCATTCCATGGCGTGTGAGGGCTCGACACCCTCGGTGAGCTTGAGGATGGCGGCTTGGAAGTCTTCGGGGGTGTGGCTGAATTCGACTTTGTGGGTGAGGACGTTGGGGACGAGCTCTTTGGCGAAGTTGAGGCGGCCTTGGTCGATGTCGGTGATGACGAGGGGAGTGGCGCCCGCGGCTTGACAGCAGAGGAGGGTAACGAGGCCGATGGGGCCGGCGCCGCAGACGATGACGGGGTCGCCGAGACGGACATTGGCGCGGTCCATGCCTGCGAGAGCGACGCTGAGGGGCTCGAGCATAGCGCCGTCTTCGAAGCTCATGCTGTCTGGAAGCTTGTGGCACCACATGGCTGGGTGCTTGAGGTAGCGGCGCAGCAGGCCGGTGACGGGCGGGGTGGACAGGAAGAGAACACGCTCGCAGCCGTTGTAGCGGCCTGTAAGGCAGGGCTCACATTCGCCGCAGATGATGTTGGGTTCGATGGCTACGCGGTCGCCGGGCTTGAGGTGTGTCACTGAGGGGTGGCAGGCCATGACTGTGCCTGCGGATTCGTGGCCCAAGACATGTGTGTCTTCGACAATCATGGGGCCAATGCAACCCTGCATACAAAATCAGCAAAGCTTCTCGTTGAAACGAAATTTTGTTGCAATTTTTTGACAACAAGTCCTGAGCAGCAGTAGGTCGACCGGGGGAACTGAGAAAGAAAAAAGAAACGTACAGCATGCCAGAAATGAATATCACTACCGCAGATACCAGTGCTCTTGACGTTCAACAGAACCTCGCCAGGCTTCAAGTCTCCGCCTCTTTGCACCTCCTCCAGACTTGGCTCTGCCTCTGCAACCCATAGATCGTGGGCGGGGTTGGTGTAAACACCAATGTTTGCCTTTGTGGCCTTGATCTCTGTGGCACTCATCTTGTGATTTTGCCGTTTAGAATACGAAAAGGAAGAAGAAGCGGAAAAGCCTGGGTATATAGTGAAGTGAAGAAGGAAGAAGGAAGAAGGAAAGAAAGAGGGAGAAGAGGAGGAGAAGAGCAGAAGAGGGACAAGTACACAGCGAGGCAGATCAGCTGGGCCCGACGGTCTAGGTCCTCAATTCTTTTTGCCCGTCTCGCCTTGCCATGGTCTTTAACCTGTGGTTGTCCCGCCTGGCCATCATTGGTGCGGGGCAGCCAGCACGCGTCGTTGTGATAATCTCTCCTAAACGGTCGCGGCCACGACCCCACTGACAACAGGACCGCGGGTTGAACGGATTACTTCCACGAATGGGAACCCGACAAAGTCCGCAATTGGCCGCTTGGAGCCAGCCCGAGTCAGGCCTCTTGGATGGGGGGGTCGGACAACGAAAGCTTGCATGGGGTGGTAGGGTTGGAGCTAGTACCGCTTCTGGTAATGTATCCTGCAGCGCGCCAAGCGACAAAGACAGATTTCACGATACTTCAGCCGTGGTGTTGAGCCTCGGCCTTGAGCCGAGTGTGCATGGTCGGCCGGTGACCGAGTCGAGTGAGCATATCTGGACGCGTGACTTGAAATAGAACGACAAGTATTGGGGGGTTTTGCTACTAATGACACATGGACTGCGTTGGTTGTTGCACCGCATACATACATACTACTTACTCCGGAGAATCTCGCCTGCGTATATGTGACCTGCGACTACAACATCTCTTCGACCTAACTCATGACCAGAGACCACAATCAGCCCATACTGCCCCTCTGCGCTTGTATGCGCATCTCGACGCAGAGCCATCCTGTGTCTCATCACGCCACAACTCGTAGGTACAGCGCCGTCACATATACCTCCACAGTAGCTCTTCGCAATCCCAGTTCCCAGTACCATACACATGTAATAGCATCCTGCCATACTCCCGCCAAGAACCCCCTTCATCTTATCCCGCTCGTCTGCCCGGAATACCAAGCCTTCCCATGGCCTGACAAGCCAGGCCAAGCACACCTGCTGTTCCTCAGGCACTCCCTTGTCAATGCGCAAGCTTTCGGAAACCAGATGTGCCGAACGAGCGCCAACAGGCGCGGAGTCGCTCCCCCTGCGCACTCGACGTGATTGACATGACTGACAGGTTACATTGTCGTTCGACAATGGTTCGATGGAAGACAGGATGACTCGCGCACATGGGACAAAAAAATTGTTCATCTATACTGTACGAATTTTTCCCATCAAGATCTTCAAATTCAGTCAAGCATGTGCATGTATGAAATCAGTGCATGTGTGAAGGATAGTATGTAGTAAAATAGGTCTTCTAGATTTGCATTTGTAGATAGTAGATTGGATATGGAGTAAAGTCGACAGAAAAATAAAAAAGGAAAAATAAAAACAGGTGCACCCGTAGGTTGCTACCTCTTCCAACGGGGGAGCTATGATCATAACATGGGCAAGAACAATAGTCAAATACACGCCTTGAACCAAGATGGTTTTAGTATCGCGAAAAAAGAATCCCAACTAGATTTTTCAACACGTCTAGAAATGCTCCTTCCAGAACTTGAAGTCGACTTCCTGGCAAGTCGCTTGCTTACACGCCTTCTTGATGTCCCGAGCTGCAATATTAGGTCCACAGAAGTAGACTCCCACCTCGGTGCGTAACGTGCTCTCGAGACCGTTCATGTAAGTGCGGTCCAGGATACCGTCACGCATACCGCAGAGCAAGCGCTGGAAGTCGGGACGACCAAAGTTGGTACGCGACTTGAGTTCGGTAAGAGGATCCTTGTCCGTGCCCACAGAGTTGAGGACAATGTTTTGCGCTGTGTTGGCATCCATCTTCTGGGTGAGGTAAGTGTGGATGCGCAAAAACTGGTCGCCGTCTGCGCCACCAAGAGACTGTGCTTCAAGAGAGGAGAGTAGCGTTTGGAACCACTCAAAGGAAGACGTGTCTTTGCAGACCCAGATGAATTCGACACGACGGAGACGCTTGGGTGGGTTGGGGCTCAGGCGGAGGTGGTAGATGGACTTGAGAATCGAGGCCCAAGGTGTGACACCAATACCAGTACCAATGAGGACAGCGACTTCGTTTTCGAAGACATCTTCAGCAGGAGCTCCGTAGGGTCCGTCGATACGGAGGGCAGGCATCTTTTGGCCATGCTGCAGAGCAATCTCGTACATGCCCATGGGGTCCAGCTCGTCGTACAGCTTGGATTGCGACTGACCGGCACCAAGCGCATCGGCGAGCGCACGAGTAAAGTCACCAACCTGGCGGACGTGGACCGAGATATAAGGGTCGTTGGGGCAAGAAGTAATGGTAAATGGATGCCACTGGTAGTAGCTGACTTCCGGGCAATTCAGGAACAACCACTGTCCAGGCTTGTACTTCATGCTGGGCTTGGTGAACTGGATCTCAACAGCATCGTACGGGTGGCGGACGACCTTGACAATCTTAGTCTCGCGCCTGCAGCGGATCTCACGGTAGAGGCGGTCAAAGAGGTATAAGCCGCCACCAACAAGCTCCCATCGCCAACCCTCGTAACCAATGCAGTGGGTCCAGAAGTTGTCGTGATCAAACGGAGACCATGCTGGGGCTGTGTCACGGACGAAGCAGCTGGTTGCGTGTGTGTACATGCCGAGCAAAAACGGAATAAACAGGTGGTGGGTGTACCAGAAGGTCTCGAATGATTGTTGGCGGATCCTGTGGTGGGCCGTGGTGTACATCAGCAGCATGCAAAGAAGCATAATGTGTCCCGTGATACCACCAGCCTCTGCGTAGTGAATCTGAAGAGCGATCTGGGGTCGCACTTGCACACGCTCGACGTTGAAGAAACTACCTTTGTTAGCTTAGACATATGGATTACCGCCAGGCGCCACTCACTTGACATAATGCGCCACAACGTGGAGGATCGTGAAGAACAGCATAGCATAGGCGACTTGTCGGTGGAACCACATGGATTCATCAAGAGGCATAAAGCGCGCCTTGGGTCGCAGCCATCGGAGGATGTTTCGGCACATGGGCATAACGATAACCATTGTGTCGACTGAGAGGACTAGACCAGCACCACGAGATATCCAGACGGAAAACTGAAGAGCGTTGAGAGGTGCTAGACGTGCATCACCGGCTTGCTTCCACCTGTGGTTATGTCAGACATGCGTAACTAATAGTTTGATGGGAACGTGCGTACCATCCTATGGCGAAGATGGCAAAATGAAAGCCCCAGAAGAAGAAATGAAAGGCGAGTTTCGACGGCGTAAAGAGCCGCGACCATGAGACTCCTCCTCCAGACATGGTGGTGGTTGCTGCAAGGCTGTGGTGGTGGTAGTGGTGGTTGCGACGGTCCGTTCAACGGTGATTATGAAAGATTAAAGAGTGTACGCGTAGTAAAAAGCGAACCTCAACCAGAAAAGCAATACGATCCAGTCGAAGTTCGACCCGGCCAGCCAGATACGAAATAAAGAAAAGAATGTCGGTGTCCCGGGACGGGCGGAGTGGTGTGCGAGGAAGAGGGGTGGAGGTGGAGGACGACCCCAAGACTGGCTGGGAACCAAGGGTATTAGAATGTCTAGCCCAGGAACAAGCCGAGCTCACCGACGCAGATCAGTGTGCGAGTCGTGAGGAGCCGCGCAGGAGTGGGTAGAGCGGCACGCTGTGCTGAAACTGACAGGGCCTGGTTCGGTACGGATGTGGCTCAGGCCGATGTCCTGGTAGGCCTCTGGTATAACCAACTCGACTAAGCTTGATAAATGATCAAATAGCCAGGAAGGGAAGCGATGCAAGGCAGTTGTGGAGGCGCCAACGCCCACTAAGCCTAAGGCGTAGATTTGAGGAGTTGAGGGTAGTGGAGGGGTTCGCAGCTATGCGCGAGCGCCTAGTGTGTGAAGAGCGTCTCAGACCTGAAGCGCCAGGCACAAAACCATTTTTTCCTTGGTCTTTAGGGGAGAAATTCGGGGCTTAACAACGGCTGGCGGTCTCGGGGGTAATGCACGACACCGTGTATGTATGATGGCTAGCGGTATGCAGCGATACGAGCAATGTTTCGCTTTGGCCTTTGTTTGAGGGGTTCAGGTTTTGGTGAGGACAACGGAGAGAAAGAGGCAGCCACAGGATTTGCAACTGAAAGCGCAAAAGTCGACACGTTAATATCGGCGTCAATCTGACAGGCGCACTTGTCGTGTCGCGGTATTGTTTGGGAGGATTTTTGTCCGGCGTGGGCGGATTTACGAGTGGACTGGGGGAGAACGCTATCTGACGGATCGGGTACTTTGATACGCGAGGTCGTGGTGAAACGGTAGGCGTTGGAAGGCGTGTCGTGAGTAAAATGGAGAAAACAGGCTGTGAATCGGCCAACGCTGTCGTTTGCTATGTTAAAGTCGTGATATGGAAATGGCTAGGATGCAATTTCTTGGGCGTTGGCAATGGGCAGACGGTGAGGGACAAGTGTTTGAGATGGGTCTTGTTCTCAGGTGGCGGCTCTACTCCTAAACTAGGGTGGCCCTACCTCCCCACTAATACACACAATGGATACGGCGGAACAGAACAAGAACATGGTGTGAGCCCGTCGTAGCTGTCCTGGCGTGTGAGCCGCCGAGTTGTACTCAGAGGCACTTCTCGGTCGTGGTTGGTAGCACTGGATATCGGTCGAGAGGCTGGGCGTGGAGCAGGTGACCAATGGCGGGCAGTCTGCAAGCGCTCAGGTACCCCCACAGAGTTTACGCCCGCTAGTGCATAGTGTCTAGCTGCACGAGTACAAGACGTCGTCGCTATTTTGGTCAGTGGCCGTTGCCTCCGGCTGGATGGACGGAGAGGTGCCAATTGCCGGCCCTATCCACAGTGGGCCTTTGAGCGAGTGAACATTGTTGGCACCCTTTTAGTCTCGCCTTGGTTTGTGTGACGACGGGAGCGGTGTGCAGATGCAAAAGACGGCCAAGAAGACGACGAGTGCTCTGGGCGATTGAGCTGAGAAATCAATAGCTCAGACAACGCAGAGTCGTGGCTGCGGATGGGATGGGGTGGGATGGAGATGGGTTGAGTGGGTTGAGTGCTGGCTCATTCGCAGAGTTGCCGCTGTGGCTTGGACCATTGGGTACGAATTTGTGGCTGTGGCTGGTGCGGTGGCGGTGTCCATCACTAGTATTTTGTACTAGTCGAGGCATTTGTATACATATCAACTTTACTATACTACCATGCAAAATAAACGCAAATCCAACGGCTACAGCACCCACTGCTCGCCGCATAATCTTACCACGCCGCTCGAAAACAAAGTCAGGCCATTGTTCTACCCCAAGATCTCGTTCGGCTCGCTGAACCCCAACCGATCAGCACTTTAACGCTCTCTGTGGCTACGCAATCCTCCGACAACCAGGTAGGAGAAAAGCTTGCCTGCTGCTGCGAACTGATACAGAACGAGTATCGGACCACTTTGTTTTGTCTCGACGGCATTGACAGGATGAACAGGCCTGTGAAGTAAACGTTGTCGTATGATGTTGTTTGATGAGCGTACCTGAGGACCCAGGAGCAGCCTTCGATGTCGTTTTCCATGCAGTAAGGCCGTGGATCGTCATGCGCCCCGCCGAGCACTATCCTGAGGCACAGAGGAGAAACCGGGACTCAGGCATCCGCTGGCTAGGAGCAAGCCATGGCCGTGCCGCATCTGGATGGATGACGGAGAATTCCCAGACCGCACATGGCTGGTCATGGGTCAGAGAGAGAACAATCCGGTGGCGTGGAGACTATCGGCAGCACGGAGACTAGTAGAGTAGGCGAAAGCATGTGGAGGCGTCATGTAGAGATAGCCGACAGCACTGGGATGTGAACATCGCGCTCTGATTTGCATTGGCGGTGGGTGGCATGTTGCTGTCGCCATCAATCACAGGCACGTGAGCGTGAAGAGGTGCTCTTTTTCGCCTTCTTGACCGTCTAGCGCAGGGCGAGGGGTTGGCAGCAAAAGCCAAGCGGCTGTTGCTGGGATATGATAGGGTAGACGAGCATCCGGCGCACGGCCGCTGTGGCTGCAGCGGGGCCAAGCACGCTCGTCCATCTCGTGCAGACAGCCAATGACCTTGACCACAACCGCCCTCAATGGCAGCCGTGCGGGTCAAGCGGCTACACAATTGACCTGCACCATTTCACCCCACCCCAGTCACTGCCCAGCCGAAAACAACCAGGATCCGAATGGCGCATAATTGTCTTTACAATTGGGGTCGACCTCCCGCTGTCGCTCCCGGTATACTGATACACCTCACGTCGCGAAGCTCAACGGCAACACCACGCTGCCTGAACACCTAACACGCCTGAGACTCGCCTACGCCTCAGCCCTCTATAGCACTTGCGCAATATCTATCCACTCTGCTCATCGGTGCCTGTCCTCCATTCACGCCTTACTGCTTTGAGCCTCCACTGAACCGCCGTTGCACCCGACGCATTGCCTATAACAAACTCCGCCCTGCCCCTCCGTCCCACGTCCGCTGCTCATCTGTCAACGAGGCTACTGGTAGTCGAAGGGACATTTCTGCTTACTTTCTTTGTTTCTCTCCTTCTTTTCTCTTCTTACCATTTAACTTTCTTTCTCAAACGACCGCGGGCTCGGTTTACTGCTCGTATCCCTTCTTTATAATTTCTGCACAATGGGCAAGTTAATCAAGAACCACTGGGCGCGTCTCGTCATCCTCACTGCTGCTGCCTGTAAGTTCCACTTCCCCATTTCACACTACCACCACTGTTACTAACTTTACCGTCATAGACCAAATAGCCGCTGGATTCCACTGCTTCTTCTGGCCCAAGATCTTCTGGGATTTCCTCACCAAGAACCTCGATGGCGCTGTCAAGCCCATTCCCGTCCTGCAAGTCCTCAATGTAGTTCTCGGTGTCATTGGCCTCGCCTGGGAGTGGCCCCTACCGCTGCTCGCTGGTACGGGCCTGCATCGTTCAATCGAAGCACGCCTCATCGTCTACCCCATCAGCGCTCTGTGTGCTCTCCTCATCTACCAAGGCACAAACTCTGGCCTGTACTACATTGTCGGCATGTTTGCTTACTTTTGGGCATACAGCGAAGGCGAGGTATGTTCCACATGATCTCTTCCTCTGATCTACTATCATACTAACACTTCTCTAGATTGTCTGTCCCGAACCATGGACTCTACCTAAGCGCGGTTCTACTGCGCGTAAAATAGGCGTATAGTTTGTCCACAGTACACAGACAGAATAATCTCAGCACATACAAACCCCAATTTCGCTTCATCACACCCCTTTCAACCCGGGATTTATGAATCATGTACCCATTGTCCATGTAGACGACTGTACCTTTTTCCGCATTTTTGCAACCCGACATCTCTGGCAGACACCCCTCTTGATTTAGCGACTAAACTCTATATATTTTTTTTCTCATCTCCCCGCCGGCCGCAGAAAGCCGTAGCGTGGGAAAGGCAAATCCGGCGCATTCTTATCATACCAAATATCGCGTGTTACTCTTTTTTTTGGTTGCTAAGGAGAAAGGCATATAGCGTGTGCGAATGATTTCTCCATAGTCATCGTCATGACGATCATGTATTCAAGTCAAGCATTCAACCCTCCAAACTTTTGCGGGGGGCCTCCATTCTGAATTCCTTCTCGCAATCTGCGCAATTTGAACAATCAAGTTTACAAAAAATAAAGAAAATCAAGAAAATAAAATTCATCGACATTGTAAATTTGTGTACCTTTTCACCTCCATGAATATGATTCCCTCCCCATCAAACGTCAGCGCAAGTAACAAAACGCAACAAAACACATCAACAACATAGTTTAATTCCCCCCCAAAAAACCTGCACGTCAACGAAAAAGGTTCTCTCTCTCGCATAAAGGAAACACTGAACATTGTAGAACAATTTACCGTCTGCACAAAAAATCCCTCTCGTCACTTGGAGTCCCTTACCCGTCAAACTGACGTGCGTAAAGGAACGTGCGTGACACACGTCGTGTTTCAGGCATGCCCATGTTCATACAAACTCAGCCACAGCACCCACGTCACTTCTTTCTTTGCCCCCTTTTTTTTCTCTTTTTTTTTCTTTTTGGGAATAATTTGCTCCGCAGACACGTGGGTTGATTGGGGGTTCATACGTGGTGTGCTTCGGTGGGGCGTGGCTGGGGTTGGGTTAGGGGGGGGATGGAGAGGGAATATGGAGAAAAAGCTGCAAGTATAGAGAAAATATTAGAAAGCATGGATTTTGTGATAAAAAAAAGATATAAAAATGTTGGAATCAATTAGGACTCGACTTTGAGTCCTACTGATCCGCGACACTGATTGGTCGACACGAGCACTGGCAAAGGCGTCGTCACCGCCTATTGGCCCGTGCGCGGAGGTACTGTAGATACTCAACACGATAACAGATACAATCAATCAATCCGCTTCCTCACTATAGTATTTGCAGCTGCAAGTTGATTCACCACGTGCACCTTTATCGTGCCAACAAAAAAGATTATTTTTATTTTGTTGGGAAAAACGAAAGAAGTTATTTCGAGAAGGGAAAAGCATGGAAATTAGTTTTACAATGAACATGTGTATTTCACAGGAAAAAAAAACGTCCGGCTTCACGTTTGAAAAAAATATAAAATAGACGTTGACATGACCGTTGCCTTCTCGGGGATTTTTTTTACTACATACTAGACAATGCTTCATTTTCATATCAACGTCCAGAAAAAAAATCAACAGCGTCTCCTTTGCTGCGTGATGAAAAAAGAAAGAAAGAAAATTTCGTGACGAGACATACATCTACCCTTCTTCGCCCTCAAAAACAACCATAATACCGCAGGACACATTTGCAAGAAACCAGATCAACCCTACTCGGCAGGACCCTCGATCAAAATCTTGATGCCCTTGCCGCCCTTGACTTCCTTGAACGCGTTCTCAGCATCCTCAAACTTGACTTTGCCTGTGATGAGCTCCTTGACTGAGATACGGCCGCTAGCCACAAGATCAATAGCAGTCTGGTAGTCACCGGGACCGTAGCGGAAAGAACCCTTGACGTTGAGTTCCTTTGTGCACATTGCTACAATGGGGAAGGTGATGTCTGGCTTGCCCATACCGCCCTGTTTGTAATATGTTAGTAAATTTGATATCTACAACCGTCAGTAAAAAAAATACGTACCTGAACATATGTTCCGCCCATTCGTAGAGCGTGAATGGCAGTTTGAATGCAAGGCTCTGCGCCAGATGCATCGATAATGACATCGGCACCAGGTCCCAATTCACACTGCTTAATCATGTTTCTGGCGTTCTCCTCTGCGCTTACGCGCTCGCTCTTGAAACTGGAGTTGGCAGCGTAGTTGAGCGCAAAGCCCAGACGCTCGTCGTTGATGTCGACGGTGACAATTTTCTTTGCGCCGTATGCCTTTGCGACGGCACAGCAGAGCAGACCGACGGGGCCGGCACCGAATACGACGACAGAGTCACCGGGCTTGATGGCTGCTTGGCGGGTAATGTGGACAGCGACGGCGGTGGGCTCGATGAGGGCGCCCTCTTCCATGCTCATGTTTTCGGGTAGCTTGTAGCAGTAGTCTTCGGGAAGAGTGTAGTACCGTGCGAGGGTACCGTCGTATGGGGGAGTTGCTGCGAATGCCATGTCGGGGCAGAGGTTGTACTTTCCCTCTTTGCAGCGTACGCAACGACGGCAGGGCACACCAGGCTCCATGGCGACTTCATCTCCGACTTTCAGACCCTTGACCTTGTCGCCGACCTTGTGTACGATACCGGCAGACTCGTGGCCGAGCACCATGGGCTTCTCAACTACAAAGTGGCCGATGCGTCCCTCGACCCAGTAGTGCACGTCGGAACCGCAGATACCAGTCCATCGTGGCCGCACAATAACATCGTATGGTGATGGGAGTTCAGGAATTGGCCGATCTTCATATGTGACTTTGAATGGCTCTTGGAGAACGAAAGAGGGGTTCTGGTAAAATGTCAGTCATCTTTTGCTCCTCCGCTATGAATGTTGGCCGCGATGTTGTCGTGTCGCGCTGTGCATGGCGGGGTTATGGCGGGGCAATGTAAAGTACCTTTTGAGAAGCGGTTTGTGAAGCCATGGTGAGTAATGTGCAAGATATGAATGTGACTGTTGGTATTGGTTCAATTCAATATCTACAAAGAGAGGGAGAAAAGAAGAAGAAGAAGCAAGAATAATCTGTCAAAACTCAAGCGCAGGTAAGTCCTATGTAATGACGATGCAAAGGGTGGACCCCCGAGCTACAGCTTCGCAGCGAGCTATCCCGCCCAGGCTAGCAGGAAGGCTGTTGACCAAAGGCTCGAGTCTGGAAGCGTTTTAATTACCCGGACTAATTACCCGGCGCGTGCATCACTCTTCTTGGATCGTTCCGTCTGAATATCTCGGCGTTGCTCCGAGGGTTTCTTGCTGCGCACCGCCGCGAGTATGCGAATGACCAGAAAAATCCCACGTGCATGGTCCGTGGGGGCCCTGCCAAAAAGCCTAGGCCTCGCCTGGCCATATCTTCCAAAGGATAATCTGCCCAACTTTAGCCACTGACTGGTGGCCTTTTACCACTTGAGCCATTCCTCGTCCAACATGCCCACCAACACGTCACGAGCGCACCGTCGTCTGGGTCACCGCTCGCTCTGGACGCGCCCCAGTCGTCATATCCTTTCTCTTCACCTTCGTCTACTATCTGCAGCCCAATCTCAAGCATTCGACGGTGAAAGTCCTCAATCTGAGGCAGATATGCATCTCTGTAGGGAAACTCCACAATGACCTTGGCGTCGCTATCCTGGGAAAGCCAAACTGCAATTGTGTCTACCAGCATGCGAGGATGATCTGCAGAGTACAGCGAATCTGCAGCCAGGACTACCGGAAACTTTGCGGGCACGGCCTCACCGTCGTCCTCTAGCGGTTCGCAGACCTGAGGCTCAGTCCAGTCAAGCATGGCTGCCCGAGCACTTCCATTGTTCCCGCTAACCACCTCGTTGTTCTGAACTATGTTATACTTAAGGTTCGGACAGATGCTAGGCAGGTCTGTCAGCACGACGTCTGCACCCAGGCCTGCCATGGCGAGTCCAACCAGCCCAGTTCCCGAACCAAGTTCAAGGACTTGTAGTCTACTTTTTGTATCCGTAGGAACCAGATCGAACGAGCTGAGGCGTTTCGCGAGGAGATATGACGCTGCCCAAGTCTTCAGACCCAAGTCGTCGCCAGTCATAGTCGGTTCGTGGATGCTGAGGTCGAAAGCGTCGGACGACGTGGGAATGTGGAATGAACGTGACATTGCGCCCATGGCAGATCGTCCAGAGCGCTCACTGAGCCTTGCGCTGGCTTGATCCCAAATCTGCTCCTTCAATTCTTCATCCTCTATCCACCGTAGATCACTACCAATGATGCTTGTGAGGTACCCTGTGACGCCTTCTGGGCTGACTGTAACTGCCAGCGCTTGTCCATCTTTGCGCTTCGTTTCTCCAGGCTCTTCCCATGACGGTGGGGCAGTTGTGAGAAGTCTGAGGGTATCGAGGAGTGCCTCAGCAGAGGGCTTGGTGTAGATTTGGGGGAGGTCGAGGACTGCACGGAGACTTTAGCACCCAGTCATACAAATGATAGGCGCTATCCATACCATGTAGCATGGACATTTTGAATTGACTATGGCGGAGGCGCGGTCGCAATATCGGCGAGCGGGGTGCGACATTCGGTACTCACCAAAGTCCAGCGGGCCCGTGCGGGGCTATGAGCTCACAGTACCAATGACGGTTTTCTCCAAACCAGAAACACGCATCAAAGACTTTCTCAAGCCTTCTTCAGCGTGCTCTTGAAGCCGTAATACGCCTGATCCATATCAAACTGGAACTCGCGCGCCTGCTCGTCGTTCAGCTTGTCGGCCGCGCGCATTTGGTTCAGCGTAATCAGCCACTGGACAATCTTGCCCTTGTTCTCGAAATCGACGTCAGTCACCTTATTAACCGCTTGTATAATTTCGACAAGGAGAGGATGTAGCGTATCCTTTTCCACAAGTCCAATCTTAATGGCGTCCAGCAGAGTAATAAAGGTCTCGGTCGCATTGACTACAAGTGTTGCATCGCCAAAGTCACCTTGCTGAGCTGGTCTCGATGGTCCCTGTTCGACGGTGGCGGGTATGCCGACGCGCAATCGTTCAACGGCCCTTGGACATTCCATCTGGTGTGCTATTAGCGCGGCAGAAATAGTCGCCAGCTTTGTTAACGTACATGCCAGTCCCTGGCGAACTGATCCAGATCACCGAATGCCCGTGCAACTGTCTCGTTGGCGAGATTGGATTTGTACTGTTTCATCAATCGGCTGCATGTCTCTGTGTAGTCGGCTTCGGCAATCGAGTCCTTGAGGTAGGCCTTCTCGACGGCATCTAGGGTGATGATGATGCTGTAGATTTCGGCAAGAGAATCGTTCAAGTCGCGCTCCGCGTTTGTTGTTGAGAGCTTGACTTCCTAGGCAGCCATTTAGTGACCAGCGCAAGATGTGGTGGGACCGAAGCGCGTCATACCTCGTCGAGATTGATGGTCGCGGCCAGATTGGAGCGCGGAATGTAAGGCGTGGGCGCATATGCGAGAGGCCTAGCGTTGTACATGGCGATAGAGTTCAAGTATACACAGTCGTAGTTGTAGGTGTAGTAGTCATCGTGCTTATAGTGTAGGCACCAGGCCCAGGTTGCGTCGGCGGCGGCCTGGTCAAGCGTGCATGGCGTGGGGAAGCGCTAGTGGTTGCAGGGTCCCTTAGCGCTGGGAACTTTTTCGAGCGCCCAAGTTTTTCAACCACCAGCTGCACGTCTGGCCAGCAACACCTCCCCCACCACCGAAACCCCCCAATTCCGCCGAGATGCCCGTCTCCAAGGCGACCAAGAAGTTCCAAAAGGACAAGCTCGGCGACACCATCAAGCGCCGCAAAGATGTCGCCAAGATCAAGCAGCGCAAGCAGATGGACGCCAAGAAGAAAGAGCGCAAGGCCAGAGACAATGCGCGCGCCGACGACGTCGAGGAGGAGGCGGCTGCCAAGAGGCTCAAGATGAACGGGGCAAAGGATGACAAGCTGGGCGAGATGTCCATGGACCAATTCTTCCAGGGCGGCTTCCAGATCCCAGAGATGAGCAAGAAGAAGACCAAGCCAAAGACTGGCAAGCGAAAGCGCACACCTGTTGACGAGGATGCTTCAGAGGGCTCTGATGAGGACATGGCAGAGGCACCGGGCGTTGCTGACGATTCGGGATCTGACAGCGAGTCGGGCGACGACATGGACACTCATAAGGAACAGCTCGCTGGGCTGGCGGAAAAGGACCCCGAGTTCTACAAATACCTCAAGGAAAACGATGCCGAACTCCTAGACTTTGCCGAAGACGCCGACCTCGCTGAGATTGACGCACTCTCTGCCAGTGAGGACGAGGCCACGCCACGGAAAAAGCACAAGGCCGACGAGCCAGAGACTACGGGCAACGATCTCACAATCAAGACTGTTCAGAAATGGAAATCTTCAATGGAGTCCAAGCACTCTTTGCGCGCCATGAAGGAGGTTGTTCTTGCATTCCGCTCTGCTGCACACATGAACGATGAGGACAGTGGAAAGTCATACAAGTACTCGATAACAGATCCAGATGGTATGTTGGCTATGTCTTGAAAATATGGCAACGCTAACAGTTCGCAGTATATCACCAGGTCCAAGTAACTACTCTTCAGCTTGTCCCCAAGGTCCTCCAACATCATCTACCTGTCAAGGAGAGTGCTGGCGGCAAGATGTAAGCATACTACTACAGTGCTTTACGACCATCACTAACAAAAATAGTCGCGTTCCTACAGATACCAAAAAGTTCCGCACTCTTACGCCCCTTCTCAAGTCGCATACCGTCTCGATGCACCACCTGCTTGAGAACTTGGCCGATGCGAAAACATTGAAGATGACTCTGGATTCCTTGTCAAGCCTCCTCCCATATGTTCTCTCATTCAAGAAGATCATTCGCGAGGTTACACGCTCAGTTGCCGCTGTATGGGCCGACAGCTCCAACAACGACGGCACCCGAGTATCAGCCTTTCTCGTATTGCGACGTCTGTTGGTCATTGCCGACCCAAGCATCCGTGAGGCTGTCTTGAAGCAAACATACCAAGGCCTTGTCAAGGGCGCAAGAAACACTACAGTCCATAACGTGCAGGGCATCAATCTCATGAAGAACACTGCGTCTGAACTCTGGGGCATCGATCCAACAGTAGGTTACACAACTGGCTTTGGCTTCATCCGTCAACTTGCCATACATCTCCGGACCAGTATCACAAACAAGACGAAGGACTCCTACAAGACAGTATACAACTGGCAGTACATCCATTCCCTAGACTTTTGGTCCCGTGTAGTATCGATGCACTGTGAGTCTCTCCGGGAAGCCGAGGCTGGAAAGGCATCACCGCTACGACCGCTCATCTATCCCGTTGTCCAAGTCACGCTCGGAGCTATGCGCCTCATCCCGACATCGCAATACTTCCCTCTCCGGTTCCAACTTGTGCGCTCCCTTCTCCGCATCTCTCAAGCAACTTCAACCTACATTCCTTTGGCACCCGCCCTTATCGAAGTCCTGAACTCGGCCGAAATGAAGAAGCCACCGAAACCCAGCACTCTCAAGGCGCTCGATTTCAACGTCAGCATCCGCGCGACAAAGGCTTACCTACACACACGCGTCTACCAAGATGGCATTGGCGAGCAAGTTGCAGAGCTTCTTTCTGAGTTCTTCATCCTCTGGACCAAGAACATTGCTTTCCCCGAACTCGCACTCCCTGTCATTGTCATGCTCAAGAGATGGGTCAAGGCCATGACCAAGAAGAGCGGCGGAAACAAGAACAACAAGGTCTCGTCTATGCTTGCCCTTCTTGTCCAGAAGCTCGAGGCAAACTCGCGCTGGGTCGAGGAGAAGCGCAACAAGGTTGAATTTGCGCCCAACAACCGCGCCGGTGTCGAAGGTTTCCTGAAGGAGGTCGAATGGGAGAAGACTCCTCTGGGCGCTTTTGTCGCGGGCCAGAGAAAGACCAGAGAGCAGAAGCAGAAGATGCTGGATGATGCGCGCAAGACGGAGGATAAGAAGAGGAAGGAGGCTGAGATGGAGGGAAAGAAGAATGGCGAGGTGTTTGAGGATGACGATGAGGAGGAGGCTAGCGACGATGAAGAGGAGGAGGTTGATATTGAAGGACTGAGCGATGAGGATGTGGATATGGAAGATGATGACGAGGAAGAGAGTGATGACGAGTAGAGAACATATTGTGTGTATTTTATCTTACGTTGGGTTTTGGAAATGGGTTGGAAATCGGAAAAGACGATAATTTCCCAGGTTACCGTGCATACAATAACAAGGTAACTGCAAATACGAGGCAGTTTTTCATCCTAGTTCTTCAGTCTCCCTGGGTCTTATGATGTGACTACTATTGCTACTATTCATATTCAACTATCTATATAAAGGGGGTAAGATGAAAATCCCCAAACATCCCAATCCTTTCCCAATGATCACTCCAAAAACCCTACATAAGCACAGAAAGAATCCCATCTCCCATGCCTCCCTTTCCATACCCAAACACTCCCCTTCATTTCTCAACACACGCAACCCACGCCCCCTCCTCCTTCAACCGCTCATACTCCCGAACTTCATACACCGTCGGCCTCCTGGCCTCGCCCTCCCACCTAATCCCCTCCTGCCCCTCACACCTCTCGAGCCGAAACCTCAGCACGCCCTTCTTCTCATCCAAAACCTCATACGCCACAACCGTATACAACCCATCATACCTAATCCCCCTCTGCGGACGATACTTATTCCCCTTGGCCAACTGACTCGATCTCAGCACGCGCACCGGATCCCGCGTCTGCATCGATGTAAGCAAGTGTTTGGTATTCTCGGAGATGGAGCCGGCGTTGTCGTTGTTTTCGGTGCCGAAATAGTGAATCAGGTTGCCGTCGTCGAGGTCGGAGTATCCGGTTCCGCTGGACAGTACGATGGAGTAGGTGCCGTGGGTCTTGCCGCCGAAGATGCCGCCTTGCGGGTGGCCGTGGGCGCCGTCGCGCACGGCGCAGAGTTGAGTTGGCCACCATTGGCCGGGCACGAGGTGGCCTTGGCCGATGTATTTGGCGGTCACGGGGTATGTGGAGCGGTAGACGGGGCAGATGGAGTCGGAGGAGCGGTTTGTGGATTTTTTGGTAAGTATGCCGCGGAGGAGGTCTTGGGTTAGGTTGCCGGCGTACCAGCGCTTGTAGAGTTGGTAGCTGTCTGCTTTGATGTCTGGAGGGAAGTTTGTCTCTGCGCGGAAGATTCGGGGGAGGCCATTTTGAGGGGAAAGCATGTGCGTTTTGCGGAGTATGTAGGGGGTTACGGGGAGAGTGATCTCGGCTTTGTGGATGAGATCGCGGAGTTTGTTGTAGAGATTTGGGAGATCGCTGGATCGGTTCCTTTTGGGGGCGTCTTCGCACTGGCGGGCGAGGTATTTGAGGGCGTCTAGGGCTGTGAGCGCAGGGGGCCGCCGTTTGGACAGGTTCTTCATGTGTATGCTGTCAGTGGAGATGGAGGTGTACCATTCTGGTAGGTCCTGGTGTACGGTATATTGATCCAACTTGCATTGGAGAGTTCGCAAGGATTTTAACGGTGCAGGAATGGTCTCCTTGGGATTTGCATTGTTTACTGCTGTAGTCAATGCCCCCTTTTGTGGTTGGCGTGCCGTGTCTTTCAGTGACGAGCCATCCTCCACCTGCTCAGTAAGAAACCTTATTTTCTTACTCTGTTTTTTGTCTACAGTTTTTACTGCCTCCTTTCGCTTGTTCTTGTCTGGCGCTTGTATGATCTTTCTAGAAGTGGCCACGGTGGGAGCAGCGCTTGTTTTTACAAGCTGTCGCTCAGTACCGCTGGACTCTTCTCCGACGTTCTCCTATTCAAACCTATCCGAAGATTTCAATACTGGCTTCGGATTCAACTCCTTCATCTTGTTTGCTAACAAGCTTATGGTTTCTTGGTGCTGCTTGCTACCCGCTTCTGCCTGCTTCCCTACGTCAAGGATCCTAGCAGCGAATGCTTCTTCTGAGTTGACACCTGATACTTCCACAGCATTTCGTGCCGCTTTCAGCATCCATGCTGGTGGTCGCATTGACATTTCCTCTTTCTGATTAGCCATGTCAGGTTGGTTGAGTTGATTGGGTTGGCCGACTTTGTGATATAGTGAGATGAATCGTGCTTATTATGTCTTACGCTAGCCGCAAGTGAGTCTGGCCTGCAAGCAAACGAACAGCAAACGAACCAAACGTTACACAAAGAATGGGCGGTGAGTGTGGCAGCTGGGTGTGTCCTAGGCAATAAGCAGTGTCACATATGATTTTACTACTGCTTGAGTAGTGCGCCACTTAATATCTAAACAAGACTACCATGAACGTAAGTATGTGCTTAGACTATACTAAATCGAAAGAGGTGGTTAAAAGCCTCAGATATGTAGAACGCTCAAATCAGTCTTGAAGTAGAATAAGTAACGAGATGCACTACATGACACTCTTAACATACATCTCGCGGGTTTTGCGGTACAGCTAGCACCAGGCAGCCACTATATCAATAGTTCATAGTAAGAACCAAAGTACAGAGTAGCTTTACCCTACAACTGTCTTGCAACCTTGCTTCTATCTAGGACTACATAACACAAGTGATTTACGAAGCGACTCGTCAATATATAAAGTAATAGATAGCTAAGAGCCTCTCTTTCCTCAATATCACTAATGAAACAATACGCACTTCTCAAATAATAACCATTGCAATATGTACTAAAGGTAGATGAAAACGTCCAGATAAAAGAAACGCCATGCTTTCTAACTCTATTACTCGTCAATCTATCTCTCACCACCTTCACCCGCCCCCCCCCCCCCAAATCGTACAAATCACTTCTCACTCCCTTCAACAACCTGCCCCAGCCCCTCTCCCTCAACCACCGCATCTGTCGGTCCCTTTCCTTCACCACCCACTCTCTCCGATGGCTTACTAACCACGTTCTTCCCTTCGACTTTCTTCAACCCCGTAAAATCAAGACCGCCTTCCACCTCGGCGCTCAAATTAACCCATCCACGGACGCTATCCTTGGTGCGACTCAGGATCGTCGTGTCGTTGGCTTGACTCACTGTTTGGTCCTCAAGCTCAAGGTCAGCCGCGCTAGTATTACCGACGCGAACACCGTTTTCACGTAGAACCTGCAGTATAGCGCGGGTGTTGAGTTTGAGTACGCGTTCTGGCTCCTTGACGCCAAAGAATTTCGTTGTTAACCAGGGAAATAAGACGCCAAAGTCGCTTTGGGACAGGTGGGCTGAGGCGATGGGGTACAAGATGTGTGGGCCGGGCTGAGCTGGGTACTTTGAATTTGACGGTGATGGCTTGGCGATGATGCGTTTTGTTTCTCGAAAGTTGGAGGCCCATTTGTAGAAACCTTCGGAGGAGATGGCGAGGAGGTTTTTGCCACCGTTGGGGGAGTCGTAGCATGGCATTGGTTTGCTTCTGAGCCATGCAGTGTCTGGGCTCTGGATAGGCATCGTGTACAGGTCCAGTAGAATAACGGAATTAGAGGGCGTGATCTGGCGAACAATATTCGAGTCTTCGGAAGGGATGTATAATGGTTTGTAATCCGGGATTTGTCCTTGAGGCCTGTAGTAGATCGACTTGACAAACTGAATCATTGTGCAAGCGCCAAAGGAGTGCCCTGCGAAACTGATAGCACCTGGTTCATGGATATCAAGCAAATTCGAGAACATGCTCAACACACTCTTTCCTTTGGGTTGATCTTGCGCAACGTTCTTCAGCTGTCGGCTCTCGTCAATCTTTAATAGCGCATCGTGTATCATTCCCAGCTCCCATAGCCGAATCTTCAATTGCTCGTCTCTTCCTTGGTACGCTTCCGTACTGGGATAGTAGGAAATTGAATTGAACTCTACTCGCTTCAACTTTTCTTTTTCATCTGGCGTATGGTGGATAGCTAGAGGTGAGCTACCATCACGGTGATCTGCTGCGACAACTACAACTCCGTGGCTTGCCAGTGAGCCACAAATTTGCGAATACGCGTTCCTGGTGCCACCCAGACCGTGTGAGAAGACCATGACAGGCCATCGACTAGATTTTGGTGGTGGAGCCAAAAGCTCCGCGTTTTGGTGTACAGGCATTGAAACATAGTATAATAATTGAGGTAATAGCCTATGCATGTGTTAGTGCTGATCATTTGCTCTTAAGGGCTTTTCTCCAAAAGAAACTTACGAGAATACTTTAGCGAATACACTATTGGCTCCCAAAAATTTCGCATAGGCGCTGAGATATTCCCGCTGCGGATTTGGTAACCATCTTACAGCTCTTTCGTTACTATCTTGCTTGCACGGGTAGAAGACACGAAAAGCCACTGTTGGTAATTCCGTGGGAGGGGCATTTTCACTCTGACTCGCTAATTCGCTCGAAGGTATTTCTACATCTGCTGATCCGACCTTGTATGGGCCGCTATGTGCGGGGAATGCTGGCGTAGGGTTCAGGCGATTAAGCAAAGGCATTCTGATGGTGGCAAGTGGTCTAAACACTCTTGAGGTCAACAGTTTGAATTTGAAAAAATCCAGCACGCGACGACTTTTTATTCTTGGATTAAGCGGGAAATTCGAGACGAGAAAGGAAAGTGCAAAGAGGATCCTGAGGAAAGGATATGTGCATGTGTGGGAAGAAGGCGACGCGAACAAGGAAAAGCTGCGATAATAGTGCATGCGTTCATGTTGGAAGGCGACTCAGTTATGCAAAATACCATGCTAACGTCCCGCGCCACTTCCAGGAACATGTCTGACGGCCGAAGTTAGGGCAAGTGACGCGATCTGCGTGATGTGGCGAGCCCAGGGCGAGACCGAGGTTTTGGACGCGTTTTAGCGGATACATACAGCGTTTCTTCGTCGCCTTCTGGTTGCCACGGGAGGCGAGGAGGGGTTTTTTTTCACCTTGTTTAATGACTTACGCCTTTCAAGATCAGAAACTTCCAAGAGTGTATGGACAACAAGCCTCCGGTATATTGTCCGTATGCGTATGTGCTGGCGCGGCGTAGTGGGGTGTTGATGTAGGAACAATGCATGACGACACACAGACGCCAATATCAACACGGCTAAAGCGCCAAATCGCAAACGGTGATTGGCAGATAGGTAAGCGCTTATCCAGTAGCATACCCGAAACAGCCGCGCACCGTTGGATACTTAGCAAAATCGCTGGTTTCCATGTGCTTCGGTATCGAGCAGACTGTACAAACAACTGTGTCTTTGCATATGGGTTATACCTGAAATTTCTACAGGTATGTTCAAGGTATAGCCTTTTGAATCTATCCAGTTTACTTTATAAATTAACAATTCTCGCTATGTTGTTGAAGTTCCGCGTTGAAAGTCGCAACTCCCGGTGGTGGTCAGCGATGTCTGACCATTTTATTCAACCCAAAGGTAAATAACTGGGGACAAAAACATGCAAGGATGACCCATGTGGCGCGAGACTGTCCAGAATCTGGGGTCTAGTGTATTGTGTATTTTCGTAAAGGACAAAAGAAAACTCAAAGGGGGTATGCTGTCTAATCAGAGGGAAAACTACTACGTGACTGCAATTGAACGCGCTGCCAAAAAAAACGAAAGCTTCAACCAGAAATTCCGCTCGTGTAACTGTTTCAGTTCATCGTATACGCAGACCACACTTTCAACAACAGCCTCTTTTCCGTCTATTCCCGCCGAGTCTGAATACGTCTTCCCATTCGCTCAGTGCACCAGATTTCCTGCCTCTTCTGCGGTATCTGACACCCTCGTCTCCAAACCCGCTCTTGATACTGCCTCCACCGTCGTCCCAGCCCAAATCACCATACTGTATGCCACTCGCAGGGTCATCAGGATCAATTTCGCCCAGCTCAATCTTGGTCAAGATCATCCTCGCCAATCTATTGAATAGCTCCTCCACGTTCTCTCCATTTAGTGCGGAGACCTCGACCGCAACTGGTATCCCGTTCTGCCCCGCCCATCGCGACGCCGTCTCGGTGGGCACCTCGCGGCCTTCGGGGGCTATAGTGTACGAAGCATGGAGATTCGCATTGAGGCTCGTTCCTCTGCTGGATTGCGACGATGGTGTAGGTGGCGGTAGTCCGCTCTCTGAACTTGGTGTGCTCCCATAACTGGAATATCCTCCTCTATTGGCGCCTTGGCTACTGCTTAACCCTACGGGAATTCCCTCCCCAGTCTCGACGTCATTCTTGTTTCCTACGAGTATAATGGTAAGGTCGGGCCCGGCTAACGCCCTTGCGTCGTTGAGGAATGTCTGCAATTGCTCAAAGCTCCGCCAGCTGCTCACGTCATAGACAAGTATTGCACCCGCCGCCCCACGGTAGTAGGATCGCGACACGGAGCGGAAGCGTTCTGTGCCGGCAGTGTCCCAGAGTTGTAGTTTCATTCGTTTTCGCGACGCAGAGGAGGAGGGGGAGCGGCGGCGGTCGGCAATGTGGACGATTTTGGATGCGAATTCTACACCGATTGTTTGGCTGGATAGAGAGCGCCCTGGAGTAGTGGTTAGACTGGTGTGCAACGGGAGGAGGCGCTACAGAAGTACATTCGGATTTAACAAAACGATGCAAAAGACAGGATCTATGTTGCTCAGTTACTCGGTGTTTGCAGTGAATACTTGCCTTATCGCAGACTTACTTGCCAGCACCGCTAGGACCCAGCAATATCACCTTTGCCAGGTAGTCATACATGCTTCCCAGCTCCTGTCACAGTTTAGAAAGGCTCTGCACGGCTCTGGCCATGTCCATACCTACTTGTAAAGGCGGCTCGCTGCTCCGCGTCGAGGCGTTGGACACAGCGCGATTCCTCCCCATCTTGACGGGCTGGCTAGCTGTGGTCGCAAAGTCGTAGACGGCAAGTCGGCACAGATCACGGTCGCATACGTGTCGCAGGACTCTGAGGTCGTGAGAAGAGTCAGAAATTGCGCCGGTGAGAGATAGCGCAATGCTACCGTGTTGTGTTGTCCGTCTGGGCTTATCTTTGTGACGCCAATTGGTGGACCCTGGCCGCGATTCGCGATGCAATCACGCGCGCACGTCAATGACCCCACTGGGCACTTTCTAGCAGAGCACGGGTTGTTCAGAGTGCAGGTCGATGCATGATTCCTGCTTTGCGGTGCACCGCCTACATCTCTAGGCCTTGATTGGAAACTATGGCGGTCTCACGTTCATAGAAGATTGCTTTTTACGGAGACTTGGTTCCAAATGGTATGTTCACATAGGACTACTAGGAACAGGTGGAGTCGACGGCTATGAACAATTACCCCAGAAATTATCAGTAACAAAAAAATGAAACAATATGCATAGTACACAATGGTATCCTAAACGCTTTACCAGAAGCAAGCAACAATCCAATCAACTCCAATCTTCCCACAGCACTCAGATGTGTCCATCTCAGTGCTCGCCCATGTCTCTCAAGGGCATGTAGCTGGCCTCCTCTTTGTTTCGTCTCCTAGCCGCCCATGCCTCGCTGATCCAGTCTTTTACGAAACTGAATACTCCCTGCTGGCCAACCTTCTCCAGCTCCAAGTTCTTCTCGTCAATCGGGGCACTAGGGTCAAGAACGCTCAACTTCATCCAGCTAGGTCTGCGCCAGAACTTGAGGTGCAGAGAACTAACAACGACGCTAACCGACGAGCATGCCATTGCTGCGCCTGCAGCCATAGGATGTATTGACAGACCCCAGGGGAGGAAAAAGCCCATGGCAAAGGGAAGTCCGGTGAAATTGTACATGCAGGCCCACGCAAGGTTGAGTTTGATACGGAAAAAGATGGCGCGGCTGAGGATGAGAGAAGCAGGAATAGCCAGTAGGTCTGTGTTAGTCATGAGAACAATCGAGGCCGCCTCCATGGCAACGTCCGTACCAGTCGAGAGGGCAATACCAATGTCTGCAGATGCGAGAGCCGGAGAATCGTTGATGCCGTCGCCGACCATACCAATCACACCTCCACGGGATTGGAGATCCTCTACAATCGCTTTCTTGTCGGCAGGCGCGCATGATGCATGGACGTCAGCAGGATCGATACCAACTGCTGCTGCGACTACTAGAGCCGAGGCTGAAGTGTCACCAGTCACAATCGAAGACTTGATACCCAAACGGGACAGGGCGAGTACACAGGCGCAAGCAGAGGGCTTGATCGTGTCGGACATGCTCAAGGTACCAGTGTATGTGTTGCCGATAGCGGTGTGAATCGTCGTGATACCAGCCGAGTGAGTTTGAGGGCCGCTTCGGGGATTGGCAGCAGCAGCAGGCGTCAGTGGCTCGTCCACAAAGTCGGGAACATTGACTCCTTCAGAGGTAAGAAAAGCAGTGTTGCCAATGAGGACCTTGTATCGCGTGCGCTCGCGAGAGAGAGCTGCTTCGACTGTTGCAGTGATACCTTTGCCAACGACGGCTTCAAAGTCACCCACGGAACCATCCAAGCTGTCATCTGGCCCTAGGCGGAGATGCTCCTTTGCAGAAAGAACAATAGCCTTGGCAATCGGATGTTCAGAGCCCATTTCGGCCAGTCCAATCAGTGTCCACCATAGATTCTTCTTTTCAGCACTTGCCCATCCACCTTGGATGTCGGCCTTGGATACGCTCATCTGACCAACGGTAAGCGTGCCAGTCTTGTCAAACACAACGTGGTTGATTTTAGTTGCGGTTTCCAGAGCAGCACCACCTTTAACAAGAATGCCCTGTTCAGCACCAACACCAGTGCCGACCATAACAGCTGTTGGCGTGGCAAGACCAAGGGCGCATGGGCACGCGAAGACAATGACAGCAATGCAAAGCTTGAAGCAAACCATGAATTTGCCGCCACTGGAGTGATCGAGGAAGACCTTTGGAGGGTAAGGGAGGACATGGCTAAGAACCATCCATCCAACAAACGTGGCGAGGCCGAGAGTGATGATGATTGGTACGAAATATCCGGCAACAGTATCTGCGAGCCTCTGGATGGGAGCACGGCTTGTTTGGGCTTCCTGGACGAGACGGACAATCTGGCTGAGCTGCGTATCACGGCCGGCTCGAGTGACGACAAACTCCAGACGGCCGTTGCCATTGACGGTACCAGCCATGACCAGGGAGCCTTTCTTCTTGAGGATCGGCATGGCTTCTCCAGTGACCATACTTTCGTTAAGATAGGACTCTCCGCGCGTTACTGTTCCATCGGCTGGAAGCTTGTCACCAGGACGAAGGATGACCACATCGCCAACTTCGATAAGCTCGGTAGGAATGACCCTCTCTTCGGCAGCATTTCCGTCGACAGACTTGCGTTCCAACTTTTCTTCGCCGGCTTCCCAGTCCTCGGCAGCTTTTGCAGCAGCAATAGGATCGGCATAAATAGTGGTCATCGAAGGAGCCAGCGACATGAGATTAGACAGAGCTTTGGAAGTTTGGCCCTTGGCGCTGTTCTCGAGATAACGACCCAAGCTGATGAAGGTGAACAACATAGTGCTGGTGTCGAAAAGTGTCGTTGGCTTCGTGTGAGGGGGGATCAGGAG